TTGCAGTCCCCAAAAAAAAAAAAAAAGTCAAAATAAGGAAAAAAGTAAAATTGAAAATGGTAGATTGAGGTTGGAGTTGGTCTCCATGCCTTTACGATTAATTGTTCATTCATGCTGCTCACTAAACTAATGTATCTCCAAATACAACAGTATTCTTCTTAATGTATATTAGCACTTCAAAGAAAAGACTGACCACATATATCTACCACTCTTAAAAATATTAAGAATTTGCGATATATCAATTGAGTAAATAATGACTTTCGTTCGGTCAAATGATAAAGAGGTATTTATATATGCCTAGGAGATTGAAGAAGCGAGCCACCAGGTGTAATGCATCTATTCGTTCAAGACTTTGCAAACCAAAGGGTGATAGTGTTGTAATTGAGTGTATTAAATGAGTTGGTTGGGTGTTTTATTAATTGTATACCCAACACTCACCCCAATAATGCTAAGTTGGTTGGGTGTTTTATTAATTGTACACTCAACACTCACCCCAATAATACTCAACACTCAACACTGTACCGAACCGGCCCGGACCGGTCCGTAACCGGCCATATTCGGGCCGGTCTGTTGGACCGAACCGTAAGGGTCGCGGTTCGGTCCAGGGTCACTGCTTTTTTTTTTTGCACCGGCGGTTCCGGTCCGGGCCGGGCCGGTTCACGGGTCGACCGCCGGCAACTGTGTTGTAATATTTTATTTTTTTTTTATTTTTGGCCCGCCGAGTCGATGAACCGGCGGGTTTGGGCTCAGAACCGGTCCCGGACCGCCCCTTGGTCCGGTTCGGTTCCGGGCCTCGGCCAGGCAGACCGTCGACCCGGCGGGCCGGGCCGGGCCGGGCCCGGACCCGTTGAATGGCCACCTCTACTTGATACTTTGATGCTTATTCTCCAAACCACCTTTGTTAATTATTCTACAATCCACCCAATCTCCAACTACTATATTAATGGTGGTATAATTAATGTGTTTGTATCCAGTATAAAGAGGTGGAGATGTCTGAGGAAGAAGCACGGTAGAAGAGAGGAAAAGAGAAGGAAAGAAAGAGGAATAAATAAAGGGAAAAGGAGAGAGAAAAAGAAAAAAAAATAAGTTCAAGAAAAAAATAGAGAAAAATTATCTCATAGGTAATTTTATTACTATTTTTTAGTGCTCAATTTCGACTCCGTTTCAGTTCACAGGAGCTCGTAAATCTGGTGTGCTACAGATTTAGAGACGTTTGCCGTTGTATCTTGGGTGAAGTTACGCCTGAACCTTTAGCTGCCACACGTGGCGTATTCTTCTTGCGGAAAGAGTTTTACTCGTCTCGGCTAAATTTTTTACGTTTTGATTTTTTCAGTTGTAATTTATTTTTCAGTTCAATTGTAATTTTCTATTTTTTTTAGATTATTTGTAAGAACTGAAAATTACATATCAGTTCGTAGGATTTCCGTGTAATTTTGATACCCGATTTATAACAATCGCAAGAAGAATATCTCAACCTACTGGACTGATGGCTTCCACCGGAAATTGTTCCAACACTCAACATCCGATCAATCATGTACTTGATGTCCATATCCTTACTGCTGAGAAGCCCGAAAAATTCAATGGGCTTGATTTTAAAAGGTGGCAACAAAAGATGCATTTTTACCAGACCACTTTTGGTTTGGTGAAATACCTGAAGGACGACCCCTCGGTCATTGCTAAAAATGAAACCATGCTGAACTATGCACTGCGTACGAGGCTTGGGGGCTGCGTAACTATGTCCTGAACGGACTTAGTAATGAGTTGTACAATGTGTACAGCTCTGTTGGTTCTGCCAAAGAGCTTTGGGCTGCTTTGGGAAAGAAGTACAAGACTGAGGATGCCGGGGCGAAAAAATTCGTCGTCGGCAAGTTTCTTGACTTCAAGATGGTCGACTCGAAGACCGTTGTGTCCCAAGTGCAAGAGTTTCAACTTATCTTGCACGATATCCATGCTGAAGGAATGTCTCTGAGCGAGTCATTTCAAGTTGCGGCTGTGATTGAAAAGCTGCCGCCGAGTTGGAAAGACTTCAAGAACTACCTCAAGCATAAGAGGGTTGTGTTGGAGTGGGCACTGTGGTGCTGAAGCTCACTTCTGGAAAGGAGTTTAAGCTTAATGATGTTATGCATGTCCCAGACATCCGCAAGAATTTGGTCTCCAGATCTCTTCTTGTTGAGCATGGATTTAGGCTGGTGTTTGATGCTAAGAAGTTTGTTCTTAGCAAGTTTGGAACATTTCTTGGTCGTGGATATCTCGACAAGGGTATGTTCAAAATGAATGTAATGGCCAAGAGCTGTGTAACCGTTGATAATGAAAAGCCTATTTCTGTTTATACCGTTGAGTACTCTGATTTATGGCATATTAGATTGGGACATATAAATCTAAATGCAATTAAACGCTTGATGAATTTAGAATTAATTCCTAATTCTAAAATTGAATCACATAAGAAATGTGAAATTTGTATTGAAGCAAAAAATGGCTAAGTTGCCTTTTCACTCGGTGGAAAGGAGTATTGTACCACTAGGCTTAATCCATACTGATGTATGTGATATGAAAAGTGTGCAAACAAGAACAGGTAAAAAGTATTTTATTACTTTTATCGATGACTGCACAAGGTTTTGCTACTTATATTTGTTAAGAAACAAAGACGAGGCTGTGGAAGCATTTAAGATCAATAAGACCGAAGTTGAAAATCAACTCGGCAAAAGGATTAAAATAATTCGAAGTGATAGGGGTGGGGAGTATGTAGTTCCTTTTGAACAAATATGTTCTGATATGGCATAATTCATCAAACGACAGCCTCTTATTCTCCACAGTCGAACGGTGTTGCTGAACGCAAGAATCGTACGTTAAAAGAAATGATGAATGCCATGTTGATAAATTCAGGATTACCCCAAAACATGTGGGGGAAAGCTGTTTTAATAGCAAATCATATCCGGAATAAAATACCACCTAAAGGGAAAGATGAGACTCCTTACGAAATGTAAAAAAATCGTAAACCGTCTTATAAATACCACAAAGTGTGGGGGTGTTTTGCTAAGGTTTCAGTACCTGAACCCAAACAGATGAGAATCGGGCCAAAGACGGTCGATTGTGTATTTATTGGATATGCGTACAATAGTACGACATATAGATTTCTGGTCTATAAATCAGAAAATCCAGAGATATCTGTGGGTACCACGATTGAGTCGAGGAATGTTATATTCTTTGAGAATATTTTTCCTCTGAAAGAAAGAGCAGAATCTGGTTCTAATAAACGAACGTATGAAACTGCTAGTGGTTCTGTACCAGAGGGTACTGATGAAGAACCAAGAAGTAGTAAAAGGGTATAAACGGCTAAAACGTTTGGACCTGGTTTTATTACGTACATCTTGGACGATGAACCGAGTTCCCTTAAGGAAGCTCTGTCCAGCCCAGATGGACCACTCCGGGAAGAAGCTGTAAATAGTGAAATCAAGTCCATTATGCAGAACCATACTTGGGAGTTGATTGATCTCCCTGATGGTTGTAAACCTTTAGGATGCAAATGGATCCTAAAGAGGAAATATAAAGCTGATGGATCGATTGATAAGCTTAAAGC